AAGGCTGCACCCTGGAAAGGAGGTGGGAGTCGCCAGCTGAGGGCAGAGGACTTGTGTCCTGGGGAGAGGCGCCTGCGTGGGAGGGCCCGGCCGGTCAGGAGCAGCTGAGAGAGGGTCGGCGTAGCCACAGTGGGAAAACAGGTCGTTCCTTCCACAGACGGTCCTCCAGTCCCTATAACACACGAGCCTCTGGGGATGCAGCAGTGAGTCAGTCCCTGCCCTCCTGGTATTTTGTTCCCAGACGGTGGTTCTCAAAGAGTGGTCCCTGGGCCCACGGCATCTACGTCATCTGGGGACTTGCTGGACATTCAAATTCTCAGGCCTCACTCCTGACTGAATCAGAAAGTCTGGGGGTGCAGCCTGGCAGTGCAGCAAGCCCCCAGGTGACGTGCATGCATGCGCAAGTCCCAGGACCATGGTTCTATGGTAGCAGTAGTTGTGATCATGGGCCCTCAGAGCTGTCCACTTGGCTCAGGGAGGCTAATGGGAATTGAGCGCCACCAGTGCCCAGCACTTTACATCGCATTCTTATCCACATGGAAACCTGAGAGGCAGGGCTCAGAGAGGCAAGGTGACCGGCCTGGGGTCACACAGCAGGGCGACCGGCTCCACCTGTCCCTGCCCCTCTGCAGATCCTTGCATTCTCTGAGAAGCTGTACTATGACAACAACCAGAAACAGAAGATGACGGACAACGTCAGGCCCCTGCAACCCCGGGGGCAGCGCCCGGTGTTCAGGTCCCAGGCCCCCGGCCGACTGCTGCCCTTGCCGCTGCCCGCTCTGCTGGCCCCCACACTCACCTGCCTGGCGGCTGGCTTCCTCTGATGATGGCTCACCTCGGGACACTTGACCTCTGCCCTCTGCCCTCAGAGGGCTTGGGGCTCCCTTCCTCTGCTTCCCAGGTTGGACTTGGATGATGATTGAAAGAAATACAGATATATTTTTAGAGAAACCTTTCTCAGGTCTGTTTTGAGCTCCCACAACTACCCCGGCCCCGTTCCCCTCAACCTACCCCTGTTCCCGGGCAGGGACCTTAGGACCTGGACATGCCTTCGGAGCAGGGACCGCGTGGGTGTGAACTCCCTGTCTGCACCCCACGTGGAGGGATGCGAAGGCGCCTGGGAGCTCCCGCACAGTGAAAGCACAGAGGCCAGGCAGAGCCCACGGAGGCCCCAGCCAGCGCCCTCTCCTCTGTGCTGGGCGCGGTGGGCGACAAGAGTTCATTTATTTTCTGAAATACTTCTTGAGTGTCTATGTTCTGGACACTGGGGATGTGGCAGGGAATGAGACAGACGAAAACGCCTTCCCTCCTGGAGTTCCCATCAATAAAACAGACATGTTGTACGACGTCTCAGAAGGCAGTGCTGCTGTGGAGAAAGCCGGGTCAGGAAGGTGGGCAGGGAGGGCCTCGTGGGGAGGGACATCCGGAGGACCTGAAGGAGGCCAGGGAGGCCATCTGGAGCCGCCTGTGTTCAGGCCGAAGGAGGAGGATGGAGAAAAGAGACTGGGGTGGGGGGCACGCAAGAGGGAGAGGCTGTCTGAGGGGGGCCTCGAAGTAGGGGGGGCCTTAAAGTAGGATATTTTAGGGATGCTGGTGTTGGGCAAGAGAGACCGGGAGCCGCCAGAGGGTCTTTGCTTTGTGGAGCTGGGGCTGCAGGGTGAGGCGCAGGGGGTGCAGGTGGGGTGCTGTAGTAGCCCAGGAGCTGATGGGTCAGAAAAGGACGGAGAGGAGAGGGAGTCACAGGTGAATCCAAGGGTCCCTGACCTTGCACTCGGGAGTTGTCAGTGAAGCCCCTCCCACCACTCTCCCCACCCCTCCCTCCAGTGCGTCTCTAATGATTTTTCCCTCTGGGACCCAAGGAGGGAGGGAGACTAGGAGGGGGTAGGTGAGGGGGGAAGGGGGGAGAGGGGGCTGGAAAGCC